CAACTTAGCATCCCCTGCATTTCAGGGAACCCACTCTCAGGGTTGGCAGAGAGCGATGCCATTGGGAATAAGGAGAGCTCAGCGCTCATAAAAAGTAAAACGCAGAAGTAACATTTGTTCAGTGATTCATTTAGACACAAAATCGTGAGATGATTTCCAGTGCTGTCAACAATGAAGTAAAATAATCCTACTCAGGTATTGCAGGTGGCAAGCAAGTTAATACCATCTATTTGGCAAATATCATCTGGTCCCAAGTATTTTCCTATAAACGTGTGTGCACCCTGTCACCCAGCGGAATCACCTCTGCGACTCCTCCCAAAGAGACAGGCTGTGCGAAGGGCGACATGCTTGTAGCTGTTCGCCATGGCATCACTTTTACAAGTAAGGCTCGTGACTCACAGGGGACGGGTCAAGTGCAGCATAAATATCCACCTGGTGGGATGGTGTGCGTTAAAGTAGAGGGAGACAGCCTGGAAAACAGGAGCCGTGTTCACAGAGGGAGGCTGTGATCGCAGGGAGCACTACATCCTGCGATGTCGTTCACATGGAGACCTGCAGGGGGCAGTGGTGGGTCCAGACTTTCTATTTCGTTCAGCTTTAGGGACACAACCTATTGGAAGTAGCGAGGCATCAAGCTTGTCTAGATGCCAGGTTTGCATGGAACTTGCACAATTTTTTTAAAACTTAGAGATTATTTTGTTTAAATGCTATAGGGTGTCCCAAAATTCACGCAAGATTTGAATTTTGTGTGAACATTAACAACAACAACAAAGAATAAAAGCCTAATTTTACTTGGTTTATTGAATCAGATTCTAATATCTGTTGCCCTTTGATTTCAATCCCTTCAATTTGATAAGCATTTCCAAGTACCAATTATGGCCCAGGAGCAGGGACAATGAAGACCAATGAAGACCACGGCTTTTCGTATGTGCCAGCAAAGCTGTGGAGGCCATTTGCCTGATGTGCTATTCCATACATAACCCTATACTGTATACTTTATGAATCAATAAAAAATTTACAATTTTTAATTATAAACCTGTGTTTTCTATCAAAATTACTTCTTGCGTGAATTTTGGGACACCCTATCCATGGGGTTGGGAAAACATCCTATTTAAACACCTGATCATTGTTAGTTTTGTTTGGGACAAGGTGAGATAGAGGCGAGTGTAGATAGAGTTGAGTACATGGGCATCACTGATTCCTGGGTCACTCCCTTGTCCCATGGTTTTAAATACATCTACATGCCTTTGGATCCCAAATGTAATTGTCCAGCCCCAACCAAGCTCTAAACTCACATAGCAAACTGCCTCCCTGATGTCTCCATTACAAACATTACGTGGCCCGAATGGAAATCTTGCCTCCCAACTCCTGCTCTTCTATCCCTGTGACTCCCTGAATTTTCCCCATTTGGGTAAATGACACCCATTCAAACCAGTATCTGAAACAAAATAATCACGAGTCTATCTTTTTCTTTCCCTCATTCTTCAGGTCAACAAGTCCTTTTGGCTTTGCTGCCAAAATATACTCTGACTCCATCCCCTCTCCACCGCCTGCTCCCTTAGCCCACGCATCATCCTCGGGCCTCCTCGTTGGCCTCCCTCTTCCCATTCTTGTTCTCCTCAGTTGCTTTCAACAGAAGTTCTAAAACTGCAAATCAAACCGCATCATTCCCCACGTTCACATCCTTCGCCGACCTCTCATCACAGGAGAATAAAATCCAGACTTCGTGCATGTCCAAGTCCCACAAAACTGACGTAAGTGGCTGCCGGCCACCTCGATGACCTCTTGTCCTTCCATTCTCCTCCACTGTCCACTCTGCTCCAGCCACCCTGTCCCCCTCCCCCCATGTTCCTCGAATGTGCCATGCTCTGTTCTTTCTGCCTGGAATGCTGAGCTTCTAGAACCTAGCACGGCTGTTTCTTATTTATCATATTCAGGCTTCAACAGAAAGCCACCTTCCCTGTGGGCCTTTCTCTCATCACCGCACCTAAATTAGCACCCTCCACCCCCACACTAAGTGCCCTCCCCCTGTCTACTCCTTTCCCCAGGGATGAACATTTAGGAGCTATTATTTTTTTCTTTTATAACAAGTTTGCAATGAAACTCCTTAGACGTGTGTGTGTGTGTGTGTGTGTGTGTGAGAGAGAGAGAGAGAGAGAGAGAGAGAGAGAGAGAGAGAGAGAGAGCTCTGAGACAGGGAGAAGTGAATTGCTGCATCCTAGAATATACATATTTTCAATTTTACTAAATACTGTCAAATTGCTCTCCAAAGTGCCTTTACCTGGCAGCTTCTGAGGGTTATTTATCCCTGTGTTCACTGCACTGTGAATTCTCTGACTTGAACATTTTGCAGCTTTGATAGATGACAAGGGGGAATCTTTTTGTTGTTCTGTTAATGGCATTTCTCTAATTACCAAAGAGGTTGGGCATTTGGCTTTGATTTTTCATTGTCCATATGCCTTGACCACTGTTTATTTTTAAATTTCTATTTTTATTGATTTCAGAGAGGAAGGGAGAGGGAGAGAGAAACATCAATGATGAGAGAGAATCATTGATCAGCTGCCTCCTGCACGCCCTCTATTGGCGATTGAGCCTGCAACCCAGGCATGTGCCCTGACCGGGAATGGAACCATAACCTCCTGGTTCATAGGTTGACACTCAACCACTGAGCAACACTGGCCGGGCCTGACACTGTTTTTTGGAGTGTTTATCATCGTCCAATTGAGCTGTAGGATCTTTTATCAACATTTTGAACACTAACCTTTAATATTCTATAAATGCTGCAAATATCTACTTCTGACTATTACTTGTCTTTTAACATTGCCCACAATGTCTTTGATCATCCCCCATTTTAAACCTATTGTCAAATATACAGATAATTTTTGTTATGGTTTATACTCACTGTGCCTATGTAATAGGCGTTAACTTCTCTGAGATCAGCAAACTCTTTCTCTAGATCAGTGGTTCTCAACCTTCTGGCCTTTTAAATACAGTTCCTCATGTTGTGACCCAACCATAAAATTATTTTCGTTGCTACTTCATAACTGTAATGTTGCTACTTTTATGAATCGTCATGTAAATATCTGATATGCAGGATGGTCTTAGGAGACCCCTGTGAAAGGGTTGTTCAACCGCCAAAGGGGTCGCAACCCACAGGATGAGAACCGCTGCTCTAGATGTTCTCCTAACCATTTTAAAGTTTTACTCCCCACATTTACAATGTATTTTGGGTGTGGTCTCTTCTACAATGAAAACACTCAATAGCAACAACAACAGGAGATGGATTGTTTGCCAGGTCCCTCTCCTTTGCCAGCCCCTCCCTCCGTGGGGACTCACCCAGCATGCTTCCCAGGAACTCCCCGTCCTTGTCACAGAATTCGTTGTGGCTGAGATCCATTTCCCTAATTCTGTAATTGGCCTGGGGAAAAAGCAGTGGACAGAGAGGTACTGTGGGTCTTCCATGGGACTGCAAATGCCTCCCGTATCCTAGGTCAGTGGGATGGGGGCTCCCACATACCCACAACGAGGGGGACTAGGGTTCTTACACTGAAGACAATTTCGTGTTCATCTTTTCGTTTGGCTGTTGATGACACCTGGGCGAGTTTATTGCCATCCAAAAACAGTCCTACCACCTGCTGTGGCTTTGGCCAGGATGGGCAGAGGCCAAACATTCCCCAGCGCCCTATACCATGCATTTCCCTAGACCCAGAGGCTCCCCAGCGTCCCCAGGTCTCCAGGGACATCTCCCCCCTGGCTCAGCGGTACCCACCCCCTGCTTCTTACCGACAGGGCCTGGCAGAGCAGCTCTGCAGATTGGTCCTTGAACTTATTTCCTGTCAGGAAGGAGGGCATGATCAGTGCTCTCCAGGCAGGGCTCCCTCGCCCTCCCACAGCCCAGCTCTGCCAGTCTCTTCCCCTCGGAATAATCAGATGTAGAAAAAGTGGCAAGTACTCAAAGCAAAAATGTGGACACAGAAGAAAACAGGAGGAAAAGGGCAACTATTTACCATCCCCTTTGACATTCTCTTCTTGCTCTGCTGTGACTGTCAGGGGAATTCCAGGAGCAGGAACACTATACTCTGTGCATTGCTGGCAGCATCAACCCCTAACCTAGTGACTAAAGTCTGTAACAGTATAAAACATGCTACTATAGCCCAGCCGGCATGGCTCAGTGGTTGAACATTGACCTATGAACCAAGAGGTCACATGCCCAGGTTGCAGGCTGGATCCCCAGTGTGGGGCGTGCAGGAGGCAGCCGATCAATGATTCTCTCTCATCATTGATGTTTCTATCTCTCTCTCCCTCTCCCTTCCTCTTTGAAATCAATAAAAAATGCTAATATAGTCTAAGCAGCAGAGACATGCCGGAAGGGGACGAGTGGGGCACTTGCCTTTGTGTGCAAAATCTAAAGGGCACTGAAAGGCTCAGTAATCTCAATGAATAATATTTTAACATTTAAAAAAGTCCAAAACCAATGCAGAAGCATCCCATATTATAAAAGGTTAATATGCAAATAGACCAAACGGCGGAATGACGGTCACTATGGCGCGCACAGACCACCAGGGGGCAGATACTCAATGCAGGAGCTGCCCCCAGCCCGCAGGCCCCGATTGCCTGATCAGGGCCTGCCAGCCAACCTCTCAGTTCCTTCCCCCTGGCCGGCAGGCTCCGATTGCCTGATGGTGGATGGAGAACCGGGGGTGGGTGGCAGTGGGGGGGGGGGCGACTGCTGGCAGCCAGGGAAGATGGCCCCGATCTCAGGCCAGGCCTAGGGACCATACCGGCGCACAAATTTTGTGCACCGGGCCTCTAGTCTATGATAAACAAAATTTTTAAATGTTAAATAAGGCAGGACCTGACCCTGCACTTGTATAGCCAAGCCTCACTCATCTTGCCTCACTCTGTCCCTTTATTTTATTTTATTATTTTATTTTATAAGACTCCATTGACTTTATTATTTTTGTAATATAA